ACCCGTCCGGCTGCAGGCCTATCTGCTTAATCGACTAAGCTGTTGGAGAGTTATCGCGGACCGAGTAGTCCAACAGTCCTGCTTTTTTTTAGATATTTACCGAATAAATGAAATATATTTTAAAATATCATTTGCTTACCAAGGACCTCGATTACATTTCATTCACGTCTAAGAACTCGACGATATTTCGTTTACGTTCTCTAAACTGCTTAATCGCTTCGTTTACATTCAACGAACATTCTGCTCGTGCTTGCCGAAGAACTTATCTATACTTTTATTTATGTTTCTTTAACGTTTTGACGCTTTTTTTATGTTCCATGCACCAATTTTCACTTCTTACGGGTTTCATTTATGTTTCTGTTATTTCCTTCTTACACTTCTTTTACACTCTAATTAACGCTTTATTGACACTCACTTTACGTTTTATTTTTATCAGGAAGAACAATCACCGACGAAATACTATTAAAGATCGTCAATCTTGGGAAAATTTTCGGCGTTTGGATAAAAAGATCTCAAAGATCCGTAGATAATTGAAGAACGACATTATTAACAATTGATATAAATTTTTTATTATTAACATAAATATTTGGCTCATACTTTATTAAATTCATGATTTTTTATTATATAAATGTTCCACAAATAAATATGCATACTTGTAAAGCTGTAATATCCTATAGCAGAAAAATTACAATTTTTTTCTCTTTAATTATCATCTTAGCAAACGAGAATGGATTAAAAATTTTTTCCGAATGCGTATTTTAAATAGTGAATGAACTTTTTTTATTTAATTGGATTCAATTGAATTGAAAAACTGCGTTTCCTATTCAAAATTTTGACTTGAACAGTATTCACAATGTGTTTTGTGTGTGTACAGAAAAAGCTAATATTATTTTTAGATTGAAAGGCATAGAGTGCTCCATGCAATTCTTATAAATGAATAAAAATGTATTCAGGATTGAAAAGCATTCATTTTAACATTCACGAATCAATATTTCTGAAAATCTGAATTCATTTCAATTCATTTCAATCCATTCTTGTTTGCTGGGAAGTTCGAATCCCATTAAGATGCGTTTTTAATACCAATTTGAAGTAGTTAATTTCAGTATAATTATCATAAATGTCTTAGGAGTAAAATTTGTAACCTTTGAAGATGAATGTTCTTTTTTTTCGAATATTAAATTAGTGTCAGTTCGGATCCAATCCATTTCAATCCATTTTCATGAATTTAAAGTACACATTAAACAAATTTTAATCCATTTTAATCCATTCTTGTTTGCTGGGATTTTACTACTTCAAGAAAAAATGTAATAATAATGTAACACAAAAATATAATAAATTAAAAATATAATAAATGTAAAATTGTGCACATTTAAAATTAAAATATATAAGTTTGTAAATGTAAAATATTGGGTCATCTAAAAAGTATCCGCGGTTTTTTGTCACTAGATGTGTGTTGATGGTCATATATCTAGTGACAAAGTACCGCGGATACTTTTTAGATGACTCATATATAAGTTTTGCAAATATTTAAAAGTAAAATATAAAATTAAATATGGAAATTATTATAATAAATAGAATACCTCACATAATACTGCAAATCTGTTTAATATTTTATCTTCCAGGTGAATATTTCTTATATACATATGTTTTGGCGATAATCGTTATTCCTTGTTCCATGTGCCTGTTGCCTGTGCCTATTGTGTTTAAGTCTTTACTTTCTTTATACCTACTCTACGCTGGGTTCATTCGGAGCGACCCCGAGTAGATCCCGAGAGACAAAACAAACAATGCTACTGTGTATTTCACAATACATGATATTTCTGATAAGTTGAAATTCTTATTCTCTTGTTCCCTATTCCTTTCATTGTGCGCAGCCCTTAACTCGGAACCTTGTGTCTGAGGCTTTGCCTTCCATTTGAATCATGTAGATGGCGTTTAGATATCTAATAAAAAAATGGCTTTGGGACAAAGGGATTAAGGATTCTTGTTAGCAATGTGAGCTTACAAAAAGTCTCGTTGTATGTATATACTATCCCGTTTATTAAGTAAGAAATGTGTAATAATTATGACACGCAAATTTATTAGAATTACGAAATTTAGCAACTGATATTTTCCAGGCCGAGGCCCTTATTGACAATTCTTCAAATGAAAGTGTTAGTGAATGACAATTATGACTTTAATGTTTTGAATATCACTTGTAATTGTATAGGGACAAATGGAGATACTTATATGGCATTTCTGTAGTGCGCTGATATGAATGTATAACATTCTGTTCATTTTCTGTATTTTACAGATGTTTAGTCCTATACAAATAAAGCACGAATGTACAACCATAGAGGATGTAAACGCAAGTAATAGAATTAACAGCTCAGATAGTTCTTTGTATCCTTTTATCAATCAAGATATTGGGTATAAGCACCGTCAGTTGTCTCAATTTTGGGAACAAACGCAGTTGTCAAACGAGGTACCTGCGAAAAATGAAATTCATGATCAACAGGCTATGTTCCGAGCAGAAGTAAATATTTACAGTATTGTGAACAACTTGCATTTAACAACTGAGCAAGTAATTTTACTCAGTTTTTTTATATTCAGTTTTATACATTTTTGTTCTAGGAAGCTGGTAGTTTATCATATATGCAAAATGGCATATTCCTTTCAGTTGATCAAGAAGATGGCAACAATCAGATACAGACAAATAATCAGTGTGATTCTCTGAATACGAGTAATGTTGTCGTAGTTCAAGAAAACAAACAGTCACAAGCTGTGCAGGATTTGCAGAATATAGGAAATATTAGTCAAACATTAACAGCACAATCGCTGACTGTAAGAAACAATCGTCTTGGAAGACCATCCAAAAGTTCCACGGAATCTAGTACAGGAAAAAAATTAAAATGTCAATGTGAGATTTGCTTCAAGGAATTTGGACACAAAAGCAATTTATTTATTCATATGAGAACGCATAATGGAGACAGGCCATATAAATGCAGCCAATGTGAAAAGTGTTTTACACACAGTGGAAACTTGGCTATACACATGAGAACGCATTCTGGTGAACGTCCATATGGTTGTCAGATATGTGGAAAAATGTTTAGCCATAGTGGAAATCTTTCCACTCACTTAAGAACTCATTCAGGTGTAAAGCCTTACAAATGTAATGTGTGTGGTAAAGAATTTAGGCACAGTGGTAACTTGTCGATACACGAGAGGATACATTCCGGAATTAAACCATTTCAATGTAAAATTTGTGGGAAGGAGTTCCATCACAGTGGTAATTTAACAACTCATATGAAAAAACATCCTGTAAATACAGACACAAATCCAACTGATTGTGAAAACAATCAAAAGCATGTATTGCATACTAGTACTGCAGATGTTAATATTACCGCTTCTTCAAATTATTTAAATAATGTATCTTTAACGCTCAATGATGACATTAAATTAATGCATAATACTAGTAATGTGGTTCCTATAAAGAATGAAAGTACAGAAGACACTGTATTAAATACGATGGGAAGATTAACATCTACTTCTAGTTGAAGGTATACACTATTATTATTATGCAGGATGAAAATATATAATTTGTTACAAATTGATACTCTCAATAATTAGATAAAAAATTGAAAACAAATTCTTGATGCCTTAATGATAAAAAAGTATGTATCTGTTACATAACTTTTCCAAAATATAAAATTAATTTTTTCGATTTTAAGAGATCTTTTTGAATTGTTATCAAAAAATTTTCTGATTTGATGATATTGATTTGTAATAAATTACATATAATACCTGCACATTAAGGATTTTTTTTTCCCTGGTATTTTTTCATTCAATGCTCTACTTGCAAACAAGCAATTTTTTACTGACAAAGGCAGCAATAGCTTTCATTTTTTTTGTGTAATTATATGATCTTCCTAAATATCATTATTATATGTATATAAAATTATAAACTTGCGTGTTTTATGTAGATTTATTTAAGTGGTATATGATTATCATGATCTGTGATGTTTTGAGTTACTAAAATAGGATATGAGGACAGTAGAAACAATACTTTTATTTAAAAAAATGTCTACCATTTATTTATGTAAATAACATGTTCTATATTTCTTGTTTAATTATTTGTGTTTATACAAGTATGTTATAATCAATAATATCAGACTTAAATAATCCTTGAATTAAATAAGTTATTATAATTATTATTATATATTCTGAGTATGCAAAGCATAACATGTATAAAAATAATAAAAATATAATTTCTATCTTATTTTGAGCTCATAATGTGCAATTTGAGATATTTAATAAGTGATAAATTGTTCGTTAAAATCTTTATTAGCCTTATTTTTATATTTAATTCTTACTAAACTTTATTTCAATAAATTATCTTTACTTTCAATTTTTTACATTGTTTGTAGCAGATATTGATTGAGTAGTATAATTTGCATAAAAGATATGCAAAGAAGATATGTAAAAGACTGTAACTTTTAATCGCATATAGGCAAATATATAAAATTTCAAATCTATTTAATGATTCTAATTATTTTTATGCAATGTTCAATAATAAATTTTTAAACAAACTTATAAACTTGATTTTTAATAATTTCTTTTTATAGTTACAATTATACATATATACACAATGATCTACAATTTAAATTATCAAATTTAAATTTCAAATATACATATAATGAATATACTATGTGAAATTTTTATACTATTATTATATTGCTTAATACATTACAATTTATAATTTATACTGGGAATAAATTAAACTTTTAAGAAAAAAAATTTGATTCTAATGTGTTATTATATTATTTTATGGTTAATACTTTAGTTTCTTTTCATAAAATATATATATAAAAGCTAAATATAATAACATTATATATAGCTTATTTATATTAGTTAAGAATATAGAATGTTATCTGTATTAATATCTGTTATAAAGTCATTGGTGTAGACTAGGATGTTAACATTATAAACTTGATTTTAGTAAAAAAATTATGTATATTATATTCTCCTTTGTATCTTGTAGCATTCATTTTCATCAAACAAAATAATTACTTAATAAAACATTTGTATATTAACGTACGACCTTCAAAGGGACAGTCATGTTCCGTGGTAGACGGGCTGCAAGAGATTCTGCTACATTTTCAGAAAGTTCGTACCAAATATATTTTTCAATTACAGGCAAATCTTCCAATGGTAACTTGAAGGATACCAATAGTATTAAGCACAGACCATCACCTTCTTGTTCACCGCTAAATTCTACAGACAATAAACCATGTGGTTTATGCTGTGGTACATCGTTTCCAAATATTTCCTAAAAAAAAAAATACCTGAATATATACATTCGTAATAAAAACAAATTTCATTGCAAAATATATGCAATATATTTGCAATATATATATATATTTGATACTTAATAATAGTTCATTAATATTTATGTATTTCATAAAATATTTAATGCTTTCCTAATATACTCACAGTCATAAAGCTATGCAGAATAGACAATAAACTACGATTTGGATTAAGTTCACAAATTGGTGGATTGTATTGTTCAGTATCAAATAGCATATGTAATCTGTTCCTATTAACAAAATTTATATAAATATTAATATAAAAATAATTACATTATAGATATACTATATATAGTTTAACAATATAATTGTTCTGTTAAATATTAATACAAACGTATAATGCTTACGTTGCTCTCTTTTTAGACGTAATTATTAATCTTAACAATAATTTTGTATGTGATTTGATCATAGGCATTAAATGAGGATGTTGGGGAATAGTTTTATTTGAAACATAACTTTTACCCCGGTCTAAGAGATATATTATATCATTAGACCTTAATGGTAAGTCATTTATGTTTCGTGTCCAGCATGCTTGTAGCGATTCCTCATTTGCCTGATCGGGTGTCTTTAGAGTACCGCCGACTATATCCCCGGTAAAAACAAAACGAAACCATGTACCATTCGCGCATTCTACTAGTATCAGAGTTGTTGGCGCTATCACCAGACCTGTCTCTTCCAAGACTTCTCTCTTCACAGCACTTATAAGATTTTCATTCTTTTCCACTCTACCGGCTGGTAAGTACCATTTTCCAGTACAAGAAGCTTTTGCTTCTTGTATCATTAACACTTCGCCTTGGTCATTTATGACAACGGCGGCAACTATGTATGTTACTGTTTTCGAGCAAATGGGAATATGTGCTGTTAGTTGACCTGATTTTGTACCTGCAATGTACATTAGTTATATCAAAATTTTCTCTTTCCGAAAGAAAGAAAGAAAAAGTTACGACATCTTACAAAAACATTATAAAAGCGATTGCAATGCGAAAGTGTCAGACATACCTGTTGTGTCACTTGCGAGAGTATGTACATTGCATATGTCATTTTCTAATGCTTGTCCGGCAAGCAACAATTGAACTTTATTTTCTACAAGATCTGACATGTTTTATATATATATATATAAAATATGTATATGTATATACACATACACTGAAAATAGTGTCACGTCGCGTACAGAACAATATTTAATTGCAAATATATGTTAAGTTGCAATTTAACACAATTAGTGTAAAAGTGATAGCTATCAGCCACCAGTAAACGCATGGAAAGACGCATCAAGATATGTCAATGTTCGGTTCAGTGCCGTATCTATTACTGAAGGCACTGGAGGCACTGGAACGTCTGGAGCTGGGTATACATTCATGTACCAAATTCCCTATGTTTGATTATGAGTTGTTGCAAAAATGCAAAATTTGAAAAAGAACTTTGCCCATTTTGGCAAAGTTCTCACTTACATTTATCAATTGTATTTCATTTTGTAGATAATAATAAAAGTATTAAAAATTAAAATACTCTTTTAAATCCTCAAACTTCTGCAAAAAACATTTATTTTGGTATTTTAAAGATATCACTCTATTCGACCGGTTGCTCATCATCAGAGCTATCAAAGCTAAAGAATGTCATTAACATTCTCAAAAAGTATTCATGTGTGACATAGCATGAGCTATGTCAGCAATCTACAATACGGGCGTTATATTCTTACATGCGCCATCATTATGTTGTAGAGATGGCGAGATGCTCTGGACGCAGAAATAAATCATGTGTGCGGAGGAAAAAAATGAATAAAAAAAGATCCAGAAGTATTTTTGATTACATAATAAAAGATAAAAGATATTAAGAGCATTTTGCAAGCATAAATAGCAAAATTAATATAATATATCTCATGTTGATCATATATTGTATTTATGGGTTATAAGTTGTAATTAATCGTAATATTGATCTGGCATTGTAGTTGACATTTACGCAGTTTTAATTTACTCTATAATTTGACAGGCTGCTTATTTCTGTATGCGAGGAATCTAAATCTATATGTAAAATGGAATATATATATAAAATTGTGAAGTTCTTCGCAATTTTGAACTCCAACTTCAAAAGGCGCAGAAATGATAATTAATCAATCTCCTTTGCGGATGCCACTTTGTAAACGTGTTTTGGCTAAATTAGCCAATTAACAAATTTTGTTAACATAAGGTTTGCTAAAAATAGGCACAGAATTTGCAATGACCGATAAACGCTATTCGATGGGGATCTAATTGTTTATTATTTTGAGAAAAGCGTCAGATCCCATAACGTAGTATCTAGGGATGTAATTATCGAATATGTAATGCATGGTCTACAATGGGCAATAGCAGTAGTGGATTAAGGAGTAGCCGTAGAAATCGATCAATATATAGTTGAATGTGAGAAAAATAATCAATTATAATTGGTCGATTCCTACGCCTACTCCTTAATCAACTACTATTACTGTCCATTGTAGACCATGCATAAAATGCGTAGTCTACAATAGCAGTAACAGTACAGATGAGCTCTAAAGTAAGAAATTGACCAATCACAGACGATTATTCTTCTCATATTGGACTATGATTGGCCAATTTCTTGCTCTTGCAGGCTCATCCATTACTTTGTACATTGTAGACCAGTAGACCACGCATTAGCATCTAGGGGAATGTGAAAGAAAGAATGTTTGTATGAAAATCGGTGCTTGTGTGCGTGACTTTCAACAACATATTAGCGAAACGCAGCGATGTAATTATGAGAGGCCGGCATCCGAGATCCAAACTGAAATAAACTGAAAAATGGATGCCTTGAGCGTGTTAATTGCGATAGCCCTGATACATTGCTCATTATTTTTTTTTGATACGCTTTTTAAGGTAAATCATATAATTATTTTATGACGTTTTGACTCTTACTTCATGCTGGATGCAAAAGACCCTTTAGAATGAAATAACGTTTTAATACATCAGCAAAATTTCTTTGAATTCAAGAAATTATTAATTGTCATTAATATATATTATGTTTTGTTAGAAAAATTCTTGTCATTAATCTCAATTTTATAATATAAATTGTAAGTTTATCACAGTAAGGATAACTTGTGATATGTTTTTCAGTCCTGTTCACATTTTCCATACCTCTACTTCCTAGAAAATACTGGTCTGGAGATACAGATATTGAGAGTGAAATGGTTTACAACTGCTTTCAATCGCAAAATAATAAAATTGGGATTGGATTGCTCCAGATTCTGGATCGCTTGGTTCAATGCTGGTGTCATTATAAGCATTATACTCTTGCCGATAGCTGTTATCATTATTTTGAAGATGACATTTAACATGTGGCTAGCTGGATCCTCGAGCGATACCAGCTCAGGAGCTATATTAGAACCCATGGTAGGATTATAGAAATAATATTTAAGGAGATCAGATATTTTTAAATAATCTTTATTATATAAGAGATTTGATAGATGTAAAATAACTGATATTTAACTAAGAACTAGTTTACACGCTTCATACATTTTATTACAATAATACATTAGAATATGGTATTAATACAATTACTTAATTCTAGTATAATATAGATTTTTAAAATCTTTTATTAATTTCTCTACTTTTTGTGCAATTTAATTTCATAATTTTATGTTTTAGTTACCAGGCGTGGATATTCCTTTCAATGAAATTGGCTATTATGTAACAACATTAGCAATATGTAGTATATTTCATGAACTAGGGCATGCTCTTGCTGCAGCGAGAGAGGATGTACAGTTGTTTGGTTTGGGAATTGTGATTGTTTTCACCATTCCAATAGCTTACGTACATATAAGCAATGAACAATTAGTTGCATTGCCATTAAGAAATCAGCTACGTATTGCGTGCGCAGGAATTTGGCATAATATTATTCTTGCTACAATAGCTGCAGCAATTCTTGTTTTTTCTACATGGCTATGGGCACCACTTTATAATATTAGCTCTGGAGTTTATGTAAAAACTATTTTACCTGTAAGTGACGAAGAAATATTTTATTAAAATATATTTCTATTTTATTATATATTTTTTCGTTGTAGAATTCACCCATATTAGGACCAACTGGCCTTTTGGAATATGATGTAATATACAAATTAAATAATTGTCCTGTAAAGCATAGCGAGGATTGGTACGATTGTATGTTGCAAGCAGTACAGCATTCTGCTCCTGGCTATTGTGTTAAGCAATCATTTGTTCAGGTAATTTCCTTATTCACATATGTTTATGATTTCATTGTTTAGCGTCTACTAGTATTTGTATTATTGTCAGTTTCAATTCTTACAACTTTGTTACATCTGTGTCATTTTTTAGGATTATGACGAGTCAGTACCAGCTAAGCAGAAAACAAATGGTGCTGTAAATTGTTGTACAACTGACAGTGAAATAAATGGCAATCTGTGTTTTGAATATATTGAAGGACCGCAAACTGCTCCTCTTCACTTACCTCCGCATTCTTGCCTTCCAGTAAGGACGATGCTTAACCAGTCACAGAATTTCTGTCAAGCTAGTCACGAGTGTTTATCTCACGATACTCATTGTATGAAACCTTCTTTAGACAATGTTACAAAGGTGAGTAGAAACAGAAAATATAACTTATTCTCTATATTAAATAAATCTTCAAAATCGTTACAAATTTTTTTCTAAAACAATTTAAAAACTGCAGATTATACAAATAAAAAGAAAAATGGGCAAGGATGTTTTATTCTTTGGTCATCCAGCAGACATTTACAGAACTGTTGATGTATCGGATTGGGTGCCAAAATATTCTTTCCTGTATCCTGAATTACCCGAGTCTTTTGCGCTACTTTGCAAATATATTACAGTATTTTCAGCAGGGTTAGCAATCATTAATATTGTGCCTTGCTTCTTTCTAGATGGTCAATATATTCTGAATATAATTGTACTTTATTTATTGAACTCCATGCCACATAATAGAAATATCAGAGAAAGCACAGTACTTACTATAACAAGTATAGGTACATTACTTTTTATAACAAACTTAATGTATTTGCTTATTAATAAATTATTGTAAGTTAATCATACATTCTTCTCCCTCATTTTTCATGAAATCATTTAATTATGAAATAATCTTACTTAACACCTGTCCATATTAATAATAATAATAATAATAATAATAATAATAATAATAATAATGCCCTTTTTAAATTTATGTTCAAATTTATACAGAAACTTCTAACAAGACATATCTTTTATATTTTAATATTAATTAAAATATTTTGATATTAAATTCTTTTGTATACATAAATCGAAAATAGATAAGTAAAAGTATTGTTATTATGCAAGTTAAGTATTGGTTTTATCCAGTTACAAAAATTATATTTTTAAGATTACTATATAGCTGCCGATAGTTAAATGTTTACTGGGAAAAAATATGTATCTATTTTTAAAAGTATATATTATTTTGACTTATTTGCCTTGTTATTTATCATGAAAAAGTTTGTTTTGATAATATAAAAAAAGATTTCCCATGCATTTATAAGATGTTAAATTTGTTATCGTTTTGCTGCTCCATCTGCATCCAATGCTAAAAAAAAAATATTTATATTATAAAATTTATTCTGAACAGTAATAAAAATTAGTAAACAATGTGATAGAAAACTATAAATTATTGTCTGTTTAATAATTAATTTGAATTACTTGAAGCACTCACAAAGTTAAAGTGCAGGCAAAGATACATAATATATTAGGTTATATTTTAGCATCAATACTTACTTTTTCCATCGCAAGCAACAATTTTTACTTTATCTACTATTGCTACTTCCTGAACTTCACGGAATTCAACATCATTTAGCATAAAAGTCCATACATTATCACAAAATCTATATGTGTTCAATTTGCCAGCCTGTAATAAGTTAATTCATTTAAATCAGATTTTTGAATGTAATAATAAAGTCAAATAAAGAAAATTATACAAATACTGAAGAAATTTACCTTAAATGTAAGTCTTGACTTAACTCTCGTTGCAAGAGCTTGATTAATAGCTTTGTCAAATTGTAACAATACTTTTATTGCAAGCTGTGGCGTTATTTGTCCATACTAGAATATATATATATCACCTCAGTATTAAACATAATACAGATGTTATTTCAGTTGTATAAAGAATATATGCATCAGAATCTATTGCAAGAGTTATTTATTACCTTTTTGATCTATAATATAAATGAAATTTATTATACGAGAAACAGACTTCTAAAATACATTTTGTCCAAAATTTCATTTTGTAAGTTAGAGATAGTATAGTGTTTAGTATTGAAAGACTCATATTTTAAACTACTCTATAATGTTCTGGAAGTATTTTTTTCATCATCAATTTATGTGTTGAAAAGTCTAAACATTCAAAGTGTATTACCTATGTCCTTTAATTAGAGACAAACAAAAT